AGGAGGTGCTCAGGGCGTTGGGACAGGGCTGGGACGGGGCCACCTTCAAGGGCACAGAGCATGGAGCTGGGATCCGTACAGGAAGGTCCAGAATGAAGCCAGAATGAGAAGCCACGCGTATGGTTCCTCCAGGAGTCCTTGTCCACGTGAGCTAACCAGGAACCCATTTCGGGAACTAGGTGATGGGATGAGCGGCGGTCAGCGGCTCTCAAAGTGGCCCCGGGCCCAGCAGCATCCGCGTCACCTGGGAACTCAGAGGAATGCAAATCCTCAGGCTTCCTTTGGGACCTACCATATTGTAGGGCGCAGAAATATGTTCCAGCATGCCCAGCAGGAGATTCTGACGTGGGCCGATGTTTGAGAAACACTGGGGTTAGAGTAACAGCAGCTGTTTTACAAATAAGTCTCAAATTTTCAGTGGCTTCACACACACACACACACACACACACACACACACACACTATTTCTTGGGTACAGAAGAGTCCAAAGAAGATACTCGTGGTCCGTGGGCACCTGCTCTCCATGTGCTGGTTCGGAGACTGAGGGGGACACAGAAGGTCAGCCGAGGCCCCCGGGCACCCTGCAGGAGGAGTCGGGATGCAGAGAGGCCGACGGAGCCTGCAGAGTCCCTGAGTCACCAGGCAGGCGGGGCCGGAAGGTGAACAGGTACCGTGGAGATGGCTTCCAAGCCTCAGACCCGACCAGTCATCCTGTGTTCTGGACCCTCCAACTGCCTATGTGGGCAACGACCGATGAAATCCTTGAAAAGAACTTTTCCTTGCAAGCAGGAAAGAAGAAAGAAGTGCCCAGGTCAGCAGCGTGATCCCGCATTCCAGCAGGGACGATCGGCGGGGCGGGGGGAGCAGGTTACACACAGAGACCCCCAAAGACTCCAAGACGAACCGTGCTTGAGAAATCCAGAGAGCGTTAGAAACAATATGTTAACGTGTTTTAGTATTCAGTTACGTCTTGCCTGAGCATGGAAAAAATACTAACATACTATTAGCTTCCTGGGATATGACCCAAAATAACTTACGTCTATTCATATAATACTAATTATTTTTCTGAGTCTGGCTCAGGCTGGTAAGAGAGAGATTTCAAGGCTTTCACCAGATTATTTACTTAAAGAAGTTAAGCTCGTCATTCATTATCTGTTCCCATGGAAACATAACTAATAGAGGAAAGAGAGGAAGAGGTCACTTTGACCATAATTAATATATAAGAATTATGGTTTATATAGAATCTAGGAAAGAATACAGTGAGGCGATGTGATAGCTTTAAACCTCTTCAGAGGTGCGATATTATCTTCGGATCGATTTTCATTCACTCTCGTCACTTTTGGCCTCTCAATAAACAGGAGATTGGTAAATGAATTAATAATAATCCAGAGGTGCCACCAGATTCAGCAGTGCCTTTAAAATCACCAAAGAAAGATTTAATTATGTTGAGAATAGTTTACATTTAAAGTGTCTTATCGTGGTTTTTTTTTTTTTTAATTGAAAATTGGTAATGCACATGTGGTGGCTCTTAGCTAAATATTCCATTTATTGGAACACAGCACACTCCTTGGGGATTCTTACAAACAGAGGCATACTGTCGTTTATTTTTAATCCTTATGCTTATTTGAATAGTGGATTTATTGTGCAGTCTCTCAAGGGTAAATTTTATCACAGAAACTTGATTATACATTTTTCAAAACCGTTTAATTTAATACATTGTCCCGGAAAGAACTAAAAGAAGGGAGAAAATAGAGAAATAAAAGAGTAGACCTTTCAGGTTTCTGAATTTTTAATACGCTGAGACATGATATTAAATTAGAAATTATTAGGATTTTGTTTCATTTAGAGCTCTGGACCAAGAAGCAAATCTAGCTTCTTCCAGGAGGCCTCGCCTGAGGGGTGGGTTCAGCACTGGCAGAGTGACAGCAAATAATGTTTACAAACAGGTGGCCTCAAGTTAAGTGGAGTCAATATACAATTTCTCACCCTTTAGAAGATAACCACCTTGCTGCCACGTGAATAACCAAAAAAAAAAAATTCTTGGAACTATCTAGCTTGAAATCACTTAATCAGGAATATAAATCGGTTATATGCCCTAATTATCCAATCGTCGATGGGATTGGCCGTGGATAGATTCGGGGTTGGGGGGAAGCGGATGGGAATGGGTCGAGTTGTAGCTGCTGGGTTCTTGATCTATCTAATGCTATCACATCTCTATCCTAGAAACGCAAACGACATTGTGTCCTCCTTGGCGGGAACAGTGGTCACTTGGCTTAGCCAAGGGTAACTGCCCGCGGTGCCATCGCACGAGCTCATTAGAGAACCCCCAAAATAATGGATGGCCGCGCTTTCCTATATGGATGCATGTTCAGATAATTTGTTTAAATGCTGTTCCTGGCACGTGCTTCATAGCTGCTCGCATTGAGCTGCGCAGATTCCAGCATATCTCGCAGGCTACGCAGTTCATTTGGAACATGTAATTTCCATCCCTGCATACTAATGGATTTCTTCTCAAACACCTGCTATCAGTTATGATAATAAAAATGCCAGTCGGAATTGAGAAAGGGCCAAATAGAGCTTCCTAAGGAAATGACTTAAGTGTCTCTGAATGCTACTAAATGCAGTAATGTGAGGATGTGGTGCCAACACTTTTTTCCATCGTTTGCATTTTCTATAATTTCATCCTATCTCAACATCCCTCTCTCGCACGATGCCTCCTAACCGTCCCCGTGGGGATCGGTAAACCGAGCTGTCAGGAGTTGGTGTCTCTGGGTGTGGACCGGATATAAAGTCGGGCAGCACCGTGTGAAAACTCACTCACCCGTGCTCCTGGGTATACTCTGGGTCATTTCTGATTTTATGAACAAATCCCTAAAAACTGTAAAGTTGGCTGCTCCCGGGTTTCGCGCACACACGTGCGCCGAATAAAACTTCCTTTCTCATTCCCTTCAGCCTCCAGTTCATTCCACGCGCCACTGCCAAACCGGGCGCCCCAAATCACCAGTTTCCTCACGTCCTTCAGTGCTGCTCGACTGGCCGCTCCACCGAGCCCGACCGGCCAGCCTGAGTCCTGAGCCTCCATCCTCTCTCGTCACCTGAGACGGCTCACCTGCCTCTCGCTCACTGCTTCCGGGCACTCCTGCCTTTCCGGTGGAGCTTCCCTCCTTCCTGCCCAGATAATCTCTCCTCAGTCCTGGTCTCCAGGCTTGTTTGTGCCCGGAGCTCTCGCTCCTGCCTGGATGTCCTTCCCCGGTTCTTGGATTTCCTCCTTCAAAGCCCACTTTGATTATTCCCATCTGCATTTTCCTTTCCACTCTCTGACTTCCCATAGGGATGTGTTCCTTTGTTAGACAGCCTGACACCAAGTTGCTTATTCAGTCATTCAATCGACATTGATCGAGTGCTTGCTATCTACCAGGCATCGGGCCGTCGTCCTCTCTTCCTTTGAGTGTGTTCGTTTCCTTGCAAATGCGTCAGTTTCTTTTATATTTTAAGCTCCTCGAGAGAAGAGACATATTCTGTCTCCTCTTGTGATCCACGACGCCCAGGCAGACCTGAGCACAGAGTATGTGTGTGGCGCTTATTGACTAATTGATCCCTACAGGTTCACAGTAGGGAATTTTCTGGTTAATTACGTGTTCTATTTGATTCGTATTTTAGGGTGTACTGTACATAGATGACCGTTTTGAAAAGCAGATGCCATAAAAGTGTCAACTGTAAAACTATTATTAACATAATTCGATGTATGATATTTGGGAAGAGAATTCACTGGGGCCACACAGCACCTCAGTAAAGACCCACCATTGTCCCGTAATGCACAGGTGGGACCGTAAGAGGCTGCCCTGGATCTGGCTCCCTGGCTGGGTCTGGGGGCGGCGGGACTGAGCATGCGCGGGGGGACCGCTGGGCAGTAGGTCCCCACCGTTAACCCCACAAACACGAAGTCACTTCTTCGGAGAAGTGTCTGACGATAAGCTCTTAAAATTTCTTTCACTTTTCCCTTGCTTTCGGAAGTGCAGAATGAATTTTCTCTGGGGGTGGGGGGAGGGAGAGAAAGTGTGGGGGCCTGGTGGCAAAGGAGGGGCGGCCAACCCAGGCCGGGGTTTGAGCCGTCTGCTGCGGCCAGGCACACCTGGGCCGGCGGAGCAGCCGTGGCCCTGAGCCGAGCTGCAGCCAGCAGCCCGGGGGAGACGCCGGCCTGCGCCGCTTACCGCGTGGGATCGGACCGGTTCTCTGCCTTCGCTGTGCCTCGTTTTTTCTCATCCGTAAAGTGGGGGAAGGGCGGCACCCGCATCAGAGGCTTGTCGGGGGTGGGGGGCGGTTGCGAAGTAGAGATGCGACTCGGGGCGATGCCTCGCGGGGGGAAGGTGAGGTTTCGGGAAGGAGCGTTTAGCGGGCGCGCGGCCTCGCAGAGGAACAGACCTTGGATCTGCTGGGGAAGCAGGTGGAAGGAGCCAGGTCCCCGTTCTGACAGGTGTTTGGGGAAGCGGCGGCGGCGCAGCGGGGAGGGACGGTGCGGGCGTGCACCCCTCGGACCCCCGGGCTGCCGCGGCCTGCGTCACCTGTGGAACCCCGACCACGCGACAGAGGCGGCGCTCCCGGGCGCTAAGCCGCCCCGGCTTCCGAGAGGACGACCGCGTGGCAGGTGCGATTGTCCCTAGAATTCTGGACGCCGCCCCTCCCCCCCCCCAGCAGCCCTGACCGGTTTCCCGGAGGGTGCCTGGGAGAGGGGGAGGGGCCGAGACACAAACATTTGGAAGAAATGAGTCCTGCGCCCACGAGAACCCTTTGTCCACACGACAGGACAAATAGAGTCGACAGCAGTTACAGAAAGGGGTGCTCGCCCCCTGCGGGGAGCCCTGGGCTGAGGCCTTTCGGTGTAACTTCTGCGCCGGTGCGAACGGTAAACCAGCATCTGGGTGGGACCCCCTGTGCCACAGAAGCCTTCCCTGATCTGAGCGGGAAGGTGACTCACCTGACCTCGTTCTGTTTGTCCTCCAGCCCTGGCCGCCCAGGCCTACGCTCTCAAGGAGGAAAACGACAGCCTCCGCTGGCAGCTGGACGCCTACCGGAACGAGGTGGAGCTGCTGAAGCAAGAGAAGGAGCAGCTCTTCCGCACGGAAGAAAACCTCACGAAGGACCAGCAGCTCCAGTTCCTGCAGCAGACCATGCAAGGCATGCAGCAGGTGCCTGGGCCCAGATTCTTTTTTGCGGAGGGAGGAGGGAAGGGATGTATGTATTCGTCGGAAGTGAAAGGGCAGCCACTTGCCAGGACAGGTAAGGGAGAAGGGAAGAAACACATTGAAGAAATCCATCCTTGAGGTAGGAAACAGAAAGCTGGGAGATGGGAAGGTGTGTGGGTGAGGGTCAGCCTCGGAGCACACGGTCAGAAGATGCCGAGCGTGATGCGAGTGTCTCAGAACTTTTCGATGGAGAGCGTGGCAGCCGGTTGTGTACAAGTGTGGTGAGTCTGCTTGTTTTCGAGATGGATGACGATGTAAACTGTATTGTTCTCACTTGTCCCGGATTAGGCTTGGGACGTAGTCGGGGCCTCTGAGCACGGAGCGTGTTCAATGTGCCGGACGAAGCACTAGAATCTGGGGTGGGGGGAGAGACAGGCAGCTGTAGGAAGAGGCCGGTGTCTGCGCTTTGGCTGACGAATGTCGGGCGTCAGCCCGGCACACTCGAGGTCAAGATGTGTATCCCAGCACCGAACAGAAGGAGACAGGAGCTGTGGGCTCTGGGAGGAGAAGGGAGAAGAAACAGGAACTCTGTGAAATGAGGGGATCGAGGGAGAGGAAGACCCCGGCCCTGGCAGTGGGGGATCCGGATCGAAGAGTCATCGCTGGGGTTATATGTGGAAACGGCAGCCGATACCTGATGCACGTAAGGTGTTTGGGCCTTTGAGTTGTCGTAGAATAATATAGCATAAATTAGGACCACATGTGGGTATTTTTTTATCTCTCTTGATATGTGAATCTAACCACTTCTGGCAAAAAAAAAATAGAGATTGTGTTTCTTTAAACAAGGGAAATATGAGTAGGATGATGGGAAATTACATATATCGTGAATAAGATATTTTTTTAAATCCCCCACCCATACTGACTTCTGACTCGCCTGCGCGGGTGTCTGAGGGATCATTGGTACCTGCTGCAGAAACACTCACCAAGCAGGGAGGAATAATGGGGAAGAAGGGATAAAAAATAAATAAATAAAAAGTGAAAAGAGGTGTGGATGGGGGTATAAACAAGTTAAGGACCAAGTCACAGAAATTACGTCTTAAACATCTCCCGCTGTTTGAAAACAGTTTTTGAGTCTCGGCTTTGAGTCCTGCGTGGTTGGTGTCCACAGTGGGTGTTGGACAAGTCAGCGAGGTTCGGAGGTCAGAGCACGCTGAGCAAGTGTCCTTGCAGCCATTGCTCAGGGCCCCCGCACTTGGGAGTCTGGGGAACAGCTCTGTGCCAGGCTCCCGGCTTGTCCAAACGCCCCGACACTGGGTGTGTGCCGGTGCCCTCGCCAGGAGGAGAGTGTGTCAGATCCCGCAGAGACCGTGACCCCAGACCCAGCCCACAGCCGCCGAGTCACGCCTCCCACCGCCGGCCTCCTTTCCCCCAGGAAGGTTGATCCTAGCTGCTTTCAAAGTTGATCAAACCTTTAAGGTGGTTGAAGATTCAAATCTGAAAGGCATCAGAGGAGGCGAGGGGGAGCTTGTCAGTCGGGGGAAGGTGTGGTGGGGGTGGCGGCGCCGGGCGCCGGGGGCCCACGGCCTGGCCCGCACAGGAGCCACTGAGCGACAGTCCTCCAAGGCCGCATTCGGTCGCTGTAGCGTCTCCTGCACCCGCACAATCTCCTCGTCAGTGGGAACTTTGGTTAAGCATGTTTTTTGGTTGTTCTGTTTTGTGTTTTGGAGTTTTGTTTTGGCTTTTGCTTGGTTTTGGGGGTGTTTGACCGGAAGTCTGAGATCGGGCCGGCGGGGTTGGGTCCCCGAGGGCCGCGAGGGGGAGTGGCTCTCCCCAGCTTCTGGTGCTTCGCTGGTCACCTTTGTCCCTCCTCGGCTTGTGAACACATCACCCCACTCTCCCCCTGTGTCACGTCTGTGTCTGTCCAACTTTCTGCTTTTTATAAGGTCACAATTTAGATAGGATTAGGGGCTCACGCTACTTCAATCTGGCCTTACCTTAACTCGCGACATCTGCGACGACTCTCTTCAAATTAGATAGCATTCTGAGGTACAGTGGGTTAGGACCGCACCAGGTAAATTCGAGGGGAACACAATTCAGTCACTAACAGACACCCAGTAGGTAGTCAGCATGGATTTGTTGAATGGACAGGGGCACAGAGGCAAGAACCAGCATGGTGGCTTTGGGGAGCTCCGGATAGTGTGGGATTCTTGGGTCAGAAGCAGCTAACCAAGGAATGTTGAGAGCTGAGTCCCTAGGGGTGTGTGTAGTGCCTCCTTAGCACAGGGCAGTACTGATCCAGTGGCTGCAGATTCCGGCTTTTAGTGGTTGTTAGGTGATGCGTGGCAATCTCCGTGGTGACACATCTTTGCTATCGTTTTAAACTAGATGTGCTTTTTAAGATGTGTATTTCCACCTTAACATCACGTTGAATGAGTTACCACAAGTTGCGAATTTGAGCCGTCCTGCGAAGAAGTCTCCTGACTTTTAAAACCTGCTCTCCATCTGCCCACTACCCACTTTTTAAATGAGTAAATCATGATCTCAGGAAAGTCAACAGATAGAGGAGGGGTTAACCGCCCACGTGTTATTGTTTTAGCAATCCATCTACGGGAAATCACTTCTGTAAATAAACCAAGAAAATAGAGTCTCAATAGCCTTAGAACTAGCTTACGATTACAATGACCTTCAAGTATAGCCCCCAAAATTTCTAACCTTTCTTCTTTTAATCCTCTAAGGACAATCCTTTCAATCCTTTAACCATGTCACTGACGTCACACGGTTTCTCGTGTGTTCGTGAATAAAACATGACGAGTAAGGTTGATCAGAGTGAAAAACCCTCAAGTGACTTCATCCGGTTGTTCTTGGCCCACCCCTGTACTACATCCCCAATTTAATATTAGATATGTCACAGAAAGGAAGTAATAACTTGAATCCATGGCAACGCAGTAGTCTTTCCCTGAGCTAGAAGTTGAGCTGTGTCTGCCGCGGGGCTAGTGAGGTGTGGGCTTGTGTTTGTATCTTTAGGTGTACCATGAAAGAATATACACATTTTAAACTCTTATGTATCTTTAGATTACCACACTGAATTGTCTTCTTGGGTTTATTGAGATAAAAAAAAAATACAAAGAACAAAAATAGTCTTTTTAGGGGTACAGTTCTATGAATTTTGACAAATTCATACACTCGTGTAATCACCACTACCACAATCGGTGTATGAAATGCTTCCATTGCCACCAAAAAAGTTTCCTTATGCACCTTTTGAGTCAGCCGCACTCCCGGCAAGCACCATGTAGTTTGCCTTTTCTAGAATATCATGGAAGTGGACTCATGCAACCTTCTGAGTCTGGCTTCAGCAATGTACCTGTTGCTGTATGAGCTCATTCCTTGTTATGCTGAATGGTGTTTCATTATAAGGAAGAGCCATTATTATTTTTTTTAATCTAGGCATCAGTCAATGGACATTTGGGTGATTTCCTCTTTGTAGTAATTTTGAATATATCTGCTTTAAACATTGCTGTAGAAGCTTTTTGTTTGGACATGATTTTTCATTCCACCTGGGTAAATATCTAGGAGGAGGATTGCTGGGTCATAGGGTCAGTGCGTTTAACTTTTGAGGATACTGCTGACCTATTTTCCAGACCATCTGGACCATCGCGCATTCCCATGGGATTGCACGAGAAGTCCAGTTGTTCTGTGTTCCGGCCAGTCAGCGCTTGGTATAGTCAGTTTGTTTTGTTTTGTCTTTTTTAGCTACTACAGTAAGTACATAGTGGCATCTCGTTACGGTTTTAACGACACCCAAATTTAAACAACATTTGTGTTTTCATTCCTGAGGATAGGTCAGTATGTCATACTTTTAAATAATCAACTTGAATGTCAGAATTCTTTTTGAAGCCATGTGTAAGTCATATGGACAGGACTGATAAATATTCAGATAATAACAGGATACCACTACAAGCTGCTGATCGTAAAACTATGTATGACTAATGACAGTTATGTCAGAAGACTTCGCATGAATACTTGAAGCTGATGCTTTAAATAGTATTAAGAAATGCCATCTGAAGACCTGCTATCTTAGGCTTGGCGTGAGCGAAGACCAGGGCAGGTCGGCTGTCTTGACAGCTTTCAGCAAGGGGATATCAGAAAAACTAGGGAAAAGAAGGTTATTATGATCGACACCATTTTAGAAATTAAGTAACAAGTGCTTTTCCCTCATTTCCCAAAGGGAACATCTGTGTGATTTTCTGTGTATGTATTACAAAACTTTACTAATTGAGACAATTATATAAACGACAGAGAAATACAATATTATTACTTTCCTAAAACACAGTCACCCCAACTAGTTTTGTCAAATGTTGGTCAAGAATTAGTCTTTGAGATATAATTAATAAACAAATGAAAGTGTGTTAAAATTAGAATGTCAGTGAGTCTATCTGGCCACTTAGGTATCTCTTCTAAAATCTCCTTTGCACTATTCTATTGCTTAGTCATTATTTAGAGAGAGTAAAAAGTTTGCATTCAGTCACTCTCTGAAATTCGCATGGAGTGAAGTCTGATGTGTACGTGTTAAAATCAAGATAATTATTACGACAGCAGGATTGGTACTGAGGGTGATGATGATGGTGGCTGCAGCGGTGAGGGTGGCTGGGGGGCGTGGTTTCGGTCATTAGAAATTTTGGGGGGAAAAAAAAACAGGTAAAATGAGCATGTCCAAGAAAATTTTAGAGAATTTTTTTTCATTTCTAAAAAAAAAAGAAGAAGAAGAAGAAGAAGCTTGTCCCTTAAAAATTGTGAAAATCCCCGAAACCCCAGCAGTTCCAGGACTTTTCAGAAGGTGCTGCAGGCAAAGAACCCAGACAAAAGTAATGAGTTTGCAACAGGAGTCTCTACGCTTCCTCGATAATTTTTTACTTTAGTTTCCTGTTCTGACTCTCTTCCTGAAATGCCCACGGGTCAGATAATGGGGCTGATGCTCTGTCCTCATTATTCTTCTTATCCTATTG